GGAATGCCTGGTTCCTTAAACATTATTATCTGAAATTTAGCCCTAACCTGTAAATACAAAAAGTAACTGTGTGAGGATTGTTCAGTGAAGTAAATTGGTGTGTTTTAGTTAAAGATCTGTTAGGACAAGCGTGCATAAGGTAATATACCTATTTCTAGCAACCTAAAGACAACTGGTGCTCCATGGCACATAGCAGCACCCTGCAAGGGGATTACTTGTAGTTATCTTTGCTGCTTGCAATTACAGTGTAAACAGAGAGAGTAAGCCACAGACACTGCACGTCATCTGGTGTGTGGGTGGCAAGTGCCTATGTATCTAATGAGGTGATCAGAACTAGTTCCAAAAAGACATATTTTTCTTGTAGCTGCCAATTCTTTTTCTCAAATTTCTCAAGAAACTGTTGGACTTCTTAAGAATTATTTAAAACCACCAACTATTGACTTTGGGGGAAAAAATCCCCCTTTTAAATAATTTCCTGGAAAGACACTATTTTGTCAGATTCTCCACCACCAATTATACAAAATGTTGTTTTGAAGTAAACTTTTTGACTGCCTCTGGTGCAGAGTTGTTCCTGAGTTTTGCTGGCATACGCTTGACAGATAATCAGTCAGTTCTACAAACGCTCAAAAATGACTAGTTTCTCACATTTTACTACATAGTCCCTATTAAAATGCAAAGACCAGGCAGTTTTCTTCTGGACTTCATGTATGCATAAAATTCCATTACACTAATAAGAGAAGCACATAGGAACTGTTCAGGTGAAGTAATATATGAGTGATAATCCTGTGCAGCTTAAGTGAATTGGGTTGTATGCTGAACAGTTTGTGCATATTTGCAGGATGTAAAAGGACACAATGGTAGTTGGCAGAAGAGAGAAGGCTGGGAAGCTTGAAAGAGAGGAAATTAGTACCAATAATGATATACAACTAGTGGAATAAAATGAGGTTTTATAGACTGTGAACTCACTTGTAAATCTGTTTCCTTACTTCTTTCTCAGTCCCATCTTGACATCCTGGAACAAAGTAGGAACCCCAGGAAGGTTTACTGGAGGCAGCAGACGCTCTGCCAGACACTAGGAGGAAATCCATGCCCATTGCTCACAATCACTGCCATGCCAGAATCTAAAAAAAGGGATGACTTGGAGCAATTCTGTAAGTAGCCAAATGAAGCATAAAAAAAAGATGATGGCGACTTGTGGTCATGTCAGAAGTTTGCAATGACAACCTGTTTTGTGAACAAGTTGATTTTTTTGCCTTTCTCCTTTTGGAAGAAGAAATCTGAAAATGGGGAATAGCCAATTACAACTTGTTTTTAAATGACAGATTTACGTGGTGGTGGTGGAGGAGAGCTGAAATCATTTTTTGCTTCAAGTTTTTCTCTAACAATCTGAAACAATTACAAAGTTCAACATCAAATGGCTCCAGCAGCAAGAAACCGTGCTCAAATAATCAGTTCAACAAGCAGTTTGATTTTTTTTGTTTTCATTCCAAATTGAAATGATCTATTTCTTTTGAAGTTTCAAACTTTCCAAAAAAGTAAAAGATCACTGTTTTCCCAGCTGTGGATGGTAATTGCAGTGTCCTGGTCAAATTCCATCTCTTGTCATTGCACTCAGCCTCATCCAGTGCACCTGATAGATCCATCCGGACGCAGTATTGCTCCTTGCATTCTGTCCTAGTCCTGACCTTTGGTGTATAACCTAGTGGTAAATATCATAGTTGCCACGTTATACCTAGAGATGGTTGTTTTTCGTTGTGAGTCAAAGATTTAGAACTTAAATGGGCTTGATTAACAATGTGGACATGTTAAGTTTCTGTAATCCGTGGCAAGTGACAAGATGATTCTGGCTAGCAGCATGTTGGGTTGGCTTTGATTTGCGAGCCTAAATGACCAAGTACTGGTATGTAGGCTGACTGAGAGAGGGCAACCTTTTTTTCTGAGTCTGGAACAAGGCATAAACTTTCACACTTCTGTAACAGAGTTGAGGAATTTTTAGGAAGTGTGGAAATTTAAATTGCTTTAAGATCTTTTTGGATGTTATGGAGAAGTGTATCATTATCTCACAGAGATAGTAAGCTACAAGAATCCAAAGAGGTGCTGTGATATGAACCACATCACTTCTTATTGCAGAATTCTCTTTCAGCTGTAAGTGGTGATATGTGAGTAGCACTCCTCATAATGTCCATGCTATATTCATTCACCAAAAGAAAGCTAAAATATCAGAGCTCGTGAAAGTTATTGCTATCTTTTCTGGTTCAGGTTTAGAGCACAACGATTGCAGTTAGGCTAACATTAGTGAAATCATCCTGAATTTATACCTTTTTATTATAATTGTCAGTCAATTTTCATTCAGGTAGCATTTACCCTGTAATTAGCACATTTCTGAGCATGAACATGGTATTCTAGGGTGAAATTTTAAAGCAAGATCACAAAAAGTTGCCAAGGATAGCCTACATGGGAATTCATAAAGTGAATATATAAACAGCTGTATATAAACAGTGGTATATAAACAGCTTTAATGCTAGAAACTGGAAGCAGTGTCAGAGAGAGAAAACTGTATTGTTGATGTTGCTGTTATTAGTATTATTTTCATTAGAGTAGCACATATAGCACACCATTAGGGGTTTGGCTGTGGTGGGTGCTGTCCGTGCCTGAAATGATGAGAGAATTGCTGCTGTTAAGCACTTTTGATCCATTATAATGATGACATAGAACAGAAAATCAAATCACCAGTGAGTGGGAGTTATGGTGAGGGAGGGTGGTTATATATAAAGAAGCCTTTGGCACACTGAAGACAATCACCTGGTTAGATGATAGCTTTTGACAGCAGGTTTTTAAATATCATGGTAGAAGTGGATCTTAACAGGGCAACTGAAAGAAATTATAGGCGTATATTTTATTCGCGTGTTGGAACTATCTAGAAGAGACATGCAGTGAACAAGTTTTTCTGCCGGAATGAATGCTCCTTTCCAATGAGACTACAAACTAAAAGCTAAGATAATGATTGAATTTATCAGAGCAAGGACTTGCAATGGGGTCGTTCACAGGCTGGGTGAATGCACTAACCACTGGATTAAGTGCCTTCGTTGATTTTGATGAGACTTTCTGAAAGCCTTGCTTTTTTGACAGAGGAAACCCAAAGCTGATTTTGAAGAGCTTGTAAATGAAATTGTTAGGGTCCTGCAACACCATGCAATTGTAATGAATCAAGTCCACAGACATGCAGACCCAGTTATCAGAATAAAAATTCTGCAAGGAGATCACCAGCCTCTACCAATGGAACTAAAGTGAGAAGAGTTAAGAACGTTTTCATCTTTGGCACCAGCCACAAGAGAGAAACATAATCATATATGCTGATAACGGGCTAGACTGCTTATTATCCAGAGTCCTTGGACATATCCCCGGACTAAGATTTTATTGGGCTGGGTGTGGTACAGTGGGGACGAATCAGATGGTGTCTATGTCTGCAGGACTTATACTCTATACTCAAGATAAGTGAGAGATAGAGATACTGAAATGAGGAGCACGAGAAAATGGCACTACAGTACCAATCCACACAATACCCTGAGAGTCACACTGCTCTTACGTAGCACCATGAGGTAAATGTAACAGTGTTAGAAAGTATTGCTTTGTCATGGAGCTCCATATTGTCTGAGTGTACCAGAATGCAGCCTGTGGTGGTAAAACTGAATCTGGCAGGCTTTCAAAGGTCATTAACCTGTCTGTGAAAGCTAGGCTTGAACAATCCTTGTGTACTGTAGGCTTGGATTACTCATTCAGCACAGATTTGCTGAAAGATTCATAAAGGATCTGTGAAAAATTTGAACAGATACTTGTTCTGAATGGTTCAGAGTGTTATAATATTCAGCATCTGTGTTTATATCCCTGTTATATGGCCCAAGGTTCTCTTTATTTTTGAGAGAAATACCCCTTGATTTATGATCTTAGGTGAATTCAGTAGAACCTCATATTTCTGCCCAAAATTCCATGAAACCATGGGCAGCTAAACAGCCTTTTTATGAAGCTTTGTAATGCAGTAAGCTTAAGGGCTTTCTAGATCTGTCCGTGAACCGATTGAACTCAGTCAGAACACACGCAAAACCCAGCTGCCTGAACTGAAATAGAAACTGTCTGGGGAAGAGTGTGGCAAGGCAAGGCAAGGCAACACAGTTGCTCTCTGGTTTCCCAGACTCTATAAATGTAAACACTGATACCCTCAGATAATGGAAAATATCTGTTGTTTTATCAAGTGGAAGAGCAGCAACGCAACACATCATTTCTTGTGCTGTGGGGATGCCTGTAGGCAAATCTGAATAATTATGTATGTGCTTATTTTGTTTAAGCAGTTTGGATAATTATGGCTTTGGGGGATGCACTGAGCCTAATTTGTGCTGCTTTGTGTAGCTTTGATCAGCAGTTACTTCTTAGTTCCCTCATCTTGTATGACGTGCCCTTCTCTGTGAAGTGGTTTGTCTAATGGAGGGACTTGTTTGTCCATATTTTCCGGGCTGAAAGCAAAACTCAAAAAAGCAAATATTTAAAGAGCTACATATGAGGAGTCCAAAGGGTGGAGATTTTCCCAGTAATAGCTCCAGTTGCTTTGTACAGTCTCAATGCATGTGCATTTCAGCTTGGGAAGTGGTGTAGAGCTCCAGCATTGGAGAACTCAGCACATGGGTAATGAATAAAAATTATTGATAGCCTTTCTTTTTGCTCCCAGAGCTCTGGGCTATCCAAAGCTCCTGTGGGCTGCAGTCATTTTGCTTTCCTATCAAATTTATTTCTTCTCCTTTGTACATTCATTAATCTGCACCTTGAGAGATTTTTCAATAGCACCAATCACACAGATAAAACATGCGTTCTCCAAGGCTGAGTAGCTGTTGCACATGATCATACTTAAGTATTCTAAATCATTTTCCTTCTTCTCTACTACAGATACTTGGAGAGTGGGAAACAGAGGTATCACTGAAGAAGAGGTATCGGGTGAGGAGTGTTAGGAGGAGAGCAGGATCATCCTGGGAGGAGTGGTATGGGAAGGAGTTACTGTGCTGCTGGAAGTGCTAATAGAGTGGGAGGGCCTGGGGAAGATGAGGGCATGACATCCTCTGTGTCAGCTGTGCTTTATTTTCCCCTCTCAACTTTTTCAGATTGCTCTTGTCAGGTTTTTGATTAATGTGGCCCAAGGATGGTTAAATTTGTCTGAGTTAAATTTATTAATGTGAGCCTTGTTAATAGGAAGTGCAAGCCATGCATGCTCCTTGAAACTGCACACTTACTGCATACTGAAGGAAAGAAAAATGGGCTGCTGTTTTTCTTCATTATGCCTAGTTTATGTGAGACTTTGATATTCACTTAGGCTCCTTTCGCCTTCCCCTCCACTTCATGTGATGGTGACGTACTGAATTATGTTTATTAAATGCTCAACTCTGAAACTGATATGAGGAAGGAAAGAAATGAGCCAGGAACTCTTTAACTTCATGTGTTTTGTATCTCTGTCACACAATATCTCCCTTACAAACAGCACAGCAACTTGCTTTCAAACTTGATTAGTGTCTGTGAGGGCCTGGGGACTGGAACAGAAAGTCAGAGGCCAGACAGCGGTTCCTGTTGGGCTTTGGAGCTCCACAGGTGTGTACAAATGGAAGATCGGCATCTGTATACCGGAGGGTATCTTGTTTTGTGGTTAAACTTGCCCTTTCTGCCTTCATGTGAAGACTGAGTGTCCTGCAAGGAGGGGTGTCTTTGCTTCTCATTCCAACTGCAGTATCCCCCATAGTCTTGTGATAAAGCCATTAGTTTCCCATTCTGTCTGTGTATGGGAAAGATCAATGACAAGAGGAAGGGACTGTTTTTTGTCTCCTCTTGTCTGTCTTCTTTACATTCCTCTTTCTCTCCCCCTTATTCCTTTTCTCAAAAAGTTTCGCTCTGCAGATTTGACTTTCCAAATTATGCAGAGTTTTTCCTTAGAAGACTGCAGCTCCTAGAATTATATTAAAAAAGACAGGTTTCTGCAAGCTCCCATGAGTGTGTTGAGCTTCCACACTGCACCTGCCTTGGGTATTGAGTTATCACTTGTGAGCCTCTGAAAATGAAAAGAGCTGGGGATTGGAAAGGAAAGAATGGTTGGGAAGGCACTTACTCTTTGGTAAGT